TGTTGAGGTTCCTGGATCTCTTGGTTGTTCGGCTGCGATGTGCTCTGTTCACTGTCTGCAGACTTCTGCGTTGGATCTGACGGTACCATGGAATGAGATTCAGACGACGTCGATGGCTGGGAGGATGACTGCGGATCTTGAGGCGCTTCCTGAAGTGCAATAGATCCAACTAGCGCCTAGCAACTAAAAAACACGAACCTGTGACTCTGGCCTTTCTGGATGCTCGGCTAAGTGCGGCGTGTCAGACTGGGTGGAAGTACCCGAAGTGGATGTTTGAGAGTTCTCGCTCTCTGCACCTCTCTGCTTTGGTGGCGATGGTGGAGACTGCTCATCAGTAGGCAGTTCATCGAAAAGGTTTTGTGGAAGAGTAGCCTAGAAACGACCAATATCATAAACTATCGATGAAACAACAAACAAAAAACCCTACGCACTTCATCGTTTTGACGCGAATTCGATGGCGCCGTATACGTCGTACCCTGTGTAGATATGCTGGGCTGCTGATGAGGTGCGAGTGGTAGAGCGCCTTGTTGATCTACTCCAGCAGGTATAGGAACTCCCGTCCTTGAAAGCATCACGCCTGCGGGAGCAACCGGAACCCCACTTGGCACGTACATTACCCTTGACACACACGTTACACAAAGAAAGCTCTATATAACTTTAGTTGACATACTTTTGTTGAGCGCCACCCTTTGACAAAAAGATCGCTTTAGCGCCAGGGCCTGGTTTCACAACGGCTGGCAAAGCTGCACCACCCGGAACGCTCGAAACTGGTCTCACAACTCGTAAGATTTGCTGACCAGGTCCGGTTCCTCGCACCACCTTGAGTTTTTACGGATAAGTTAGAAGCACGAAATCAACAAATGCGACTCTAAAGCATAAAATCTTGAAATAGTACCTTCATGATGCTACCTGCCGCAGGTCCCCTTTGCATCAACATCTTTTGAGCTGGTGATGATGGAGGTTTACCGAGTGAACCCAGCTGCCTCGAAGCTGTAATCATAAATTGAAATCAGAAAGCTTGGAAACTCATGAGTCTAATTTTGACTTTTGGAAAGATCTGAAAAATTGATGAAAACGGTAATTTTTGACAAGTTAAAAATCAAAATTAGATTACCTACTCACTTGAAAATAACACTACAAATGCAACACATTTCAAAAAAATTGCCAAGCACTTACTATGTGAGAAAAGAAAGAAGAATAAAAAAAAATCCCATGCCCACATATCAAATAATATAAATTTTGCCAGAAAAAATTACGAAAATTACAAAGAAAGGCTACCTTCTTCATCAATGATCTTGTGCGTAGCTATGCTAGCATCGTACTTATGCAGCTGGAGTAGGTATGCCTCGGCAGTTGGAAGAGAACCCCATGAAACCTAAAATATGTAGGGTAACAAAACTGTAAGTACCCCGTACGACTGTGCTTAGTTTCATCTACCTACTCAGCTATATGCAACATTTAAAAAAAAAACAACCCCACCTCAAGTCCAGCAACGCTTGCTCTGACAAGCTGAACACGTGAAGGAGTGCCCGGAACTGCCGTCTCCAGATACCACATGTCTTTGCAACACACCTGTGAAGTAAAAAATGATTCAAATAAAAAAAACAACGAAAACGCAAAGTAAATAAACCTGATTATTCCATGCCTTTCGGTAACCATCCCTTCCTGACCAGATATATATTCGATTATTGATAACAACAGAACAGTGTCCTGCTCTTGCACGTGGCACGTTTTCTACTACATGGGCGAATAACAAACAGAATCAAACAAATGTATAGACAATTACCATCAAAAACATGCGAAACGCTTTCCCAAACCATTGTGTCGAGATTTAAACATGCCAAATCATTGGTACACTTCCATTCCTTCACCTCAGCGTCGTTCCCGTCTTCAACCATTGGGACCTAAATGGACGTTCACAACTGATAGCGCATGAGCTGTTCAAACACATACCCAACCACCATAGATATACATTCGATGTCCAATCAGGTTTGCGGTATGAAGAGATCTTGGAAGAGGCGTGACCCCTCCAGTCTGAACATACTATCAATCGGGGCCGACAATTTCACACTTACAAAATCTGACAGTGCATGAAAAAACAAAAAAAAAATGAGACATAAGAATCAAATCGAAAATAATGAAAAATCCAACGAACCACAGGGTTGTCCCATGTCATGGTATCAAGATGTAATATCCATAGATCGTTCAGGCGACATCCATTCATTCCACCATAGATTATCAGCTGACGTCCACTGGTTGACTCAAGTACTACTGCAGAATGGGACTCGCGCGGTGGAGGATGCGGACCATAAGTCTACAAAAAGGAACTGTGTATGAGAACAAAGACTTTTCTTCAAGGAATTACCACGGGCAGCTCCCATTGCAGAGATCCTACTGGGCCTCGGATATCAAGCGTGAATAAATCATCCAAGTATACGGGGTTGTTTTGTTTTGGATCGGGAGACTGGTTCGCAAGACCACCGAATAGATAGCAGATCTAAGTATCCAGAGTTGAATCACAACATATGGAGCTAAAATATATACCTGGTTGCTCGCAAGCGAGAATGAGTGGCCCAATCGTGGACATGGACCAGCTCCGCCACTTCGTGGAGGGCGAGGACGTAGCTTTCGCCATTCCCAACGAGAAGCTTGCAGCTCATACAAATCATTGGTGTATCTAAGTATCGTAAGGATTACTTGAAAAAATTCAAACACTTCAGATAATCAAAAAAGCACAGAAACTGCGTGACGAAAAAACCACAGATGTCTTATTGAAATTCGCCATCAAGTGTAATGATATCGATGAATTTTACTCTTCCATAGAATCAAAAATTGTGTGGTAGTCTAGGACCTTTACAAGCATATAATCTATGTAATAAAAAGAAATGCGAAAAATTGAGATTTTAGGTACGCAATGCGATAGTGTAACGCCTTGCATGTCTGTATAACAATTAAATCCAACTGCACACCTCTGCGACGGAATATGTTAGGTACATTGTAAAAAAAGCAGTACCCCTATAATCTTACAAATAAGTCCGCTTTTTGACAAGGGACATCTAAGGAAATGCACCCTCGCGCCGTCAAGAATCTTGTAAATAAGTCCTCCTTTCAAATAAGTCTGTCAACAGATAAGTCCGGACTTATCTGACTAAGTCTCAGTACAGTTATAATGAAAAGAACGTACTTATCTGTAGGCGGACCTATCCAAGGACTTTATCTGGGTCAAAAAAAGCGGACTTACCTGAAGACGGACTTGTCTGATGGGAGGACTTATCTATGAGATTTTAGGTTACTTAAAAACAAAGTTAACTGCGGCTGTGATACTACCATGATAAGAACAGAAAAAAA